CGGTTTTGGGTAACTTTTTGGCGATCGCCAGAAATATGTCGTTTACATTCATAGCTGTCTTCGCCGACGTCTCCATGAAAAGCAATCCATTCTCATCGGCGTAGGCCTGAGCCTCGTCCGTCTCGACCGCCCTCTTCTGCGCCAAATCGGCTTTATTTCCGGCCAAAGCGATCACTATATTAGGACTCGCCTGTCGTTGCAGTTCCTTCACCCAAGTCTTCGCCCGACTAAATGTGTCCTTCGATTCAAAGCAAACAAATAATTAATCAATAATTTCAAACATAAACAACAGATCAGATGTCAATACCTGATTAGTGATATCATATACGACAATAGCCGCCTGCGCTCCCCTGTAATACATGGGCGCTAAGCTGTGATACCTCTCCTGTCCAGCGGTGTCCCAAATCTCGAATTTAACGGTCGTTTCGTCTAAACATACCGTTTGGGTCAGGAATGCGGCTGTCGTTCAAAAAGACAATTATTAGTTTAAAAACAATGTCTCCTAAAGGGGTGGTGTAGTGATGATAATGCATACCTCCGATAGTGCTCTCCTGATACTCGTGGAACTGTCCCTTAACGAAGCGCAACACCAGCGATGACTTGCCGACCGCCGACTCGCCCAACAAAACCAGTTTAAATTGACATATCTTTCCCTGAGTGGCGCCGTTAGGCCTCTGGACTCCACTTCTGTTTGCAGACATTTCTTTGACTAACGATTTAATTAATTCACGCTTTGATTATCGATAACAACGAAACGCTCTTTGATTTGCGGACAAAATAAGAGGCGATTTGTCTGTAAATTAATTCAAAACATAAGTATTAATAATTAATTCATTTGTATAGAAATCATTCAAACGTTTATTAAGTTTTATTTTTAGCCACTCTTTCCCTAATCACTACTTTTGTTTAATAAATAATTCATTAATCAATTGATCCAAAAGTTACATAATATACAGTAAAACAAACAATTGAATAAAAACACAACAATTAGACAAAATCAACGCCAAATCACAAACAAAATGAAGTCTTAAAGAGTAATACAAACCAATGGCTAATAAAAAGTAATCACAAGAAAAAAGAGACAATAAATACAAACAAATGAAATGAAATAATAAAATAATTAAATGTCAAAAACAAGTGTTTCAAAGACTCAATCACTTACGGATCAATTGATTAAATGTCTTACAGAGTGGGCGTATAAAGAGTACTAACAGACAGTGGTATTGATTGTCACCCAATGGATCAGATGTGGTGGCAATGAGAGTGTGTTATATGACTGTCTGAATGTGTCTCCACTCGAGTGACACCTCTTTTGCTGCAATGTTTAGTTGTGTGTGAAATGGCGACTACAGCCTACTCTACAGCACTCGCTGTACACCAACTCATAGACAATACACACTCCACAGTACAGTGCAGTCACCCAAACAACAGCGCTATACACACCACACATATAAACACCACGTATTGACGCATTCATACCATTCACTCACACATCGCTTACCTCACGAAGAAGTGATGTCCGGGGAAGCGATGGATGAGCTGAGGTGACCGACAATCAGATCCAATAGGTTTGCGATCACCAGTTAGTGTCAAACAAACAGATGAGTGGTTTATATAGTGTTG